AGTCCTCAGAGTTCCCCTTACATCAGAGTTCTCCTTTACATCAAAATCTGCAGGGTTCCCCCTTACAGTGCTAAGGGGACCTCTGCAGACCCTCATGTAAAGTGCAACTCTGATGTAAGGGGGATACTGCGGACTGTGATGTAAAGGGAAATCTGATGTAAAGTGATCTCTGGTCACCAAAACACCCCCCCCCCCCCTTCCATCACAGTTAGCAGCATTCCCCTTTACATCAGAGCCCTCAGTGTTCCCTCTTACATCAGAGTTTCCTTTTGCATCAGGGTCTGCAGAGGTCCACTTGCATTGTGGGGTGCTAGTGTGAAAGGGGCCTAATTCATCATGGGCAATATCCAGGGCATTGCATTTGGAAAAGGCACACACACTTTGCTGTGGATCTCTTTTATTGACTTTACCTTTTCTGAGAATTTTCTGCAGACTTGATGAATAAAGGATGGATGGAGGATCCCTCAACCTGTATACTGTGAGTTCACTTCACACTGACAGCTGCCTCTGCTCGCTGCACTGATGAAAGGATGTCAGTCATATGCCACCTTCCAACCTCCTGCTGATTCTTCTCAGCCCGAGCCCGCCCTTCCCTCAGCATTTCACTGAAAGAGGCAGGCAGTGAAGAAGCAGCTGTGAGTGGTATCACTGCGCCAGTGGGGAATGTGAGCTGCAACTATAATTTTATCAGCAAATGCAGCACCAGCAGCTTGTGTAAATCTGCCTGCAAGTGGATTTAGTCAGTCTCCCCCCTTGGAAGGGCACCTGTAGGCCCATGCCTACACTGCCTATTGGGAAATCCAGCCCTGACTATGGGTAGTTTTTTCTGGAAAACCTAATAAAAACCCATTGAACTACAAGAACAAATGGAACTGTATTCCTATATGTCAATATACCAGAGCAACGGACTGTAACAGCTAATAGATTCATTAACCCTTAAAATAATTTGTAACTTGAAATAAAAATAGCAGCTATTAAATATAAAAATAAATAGGTAGATATATTTGACAAATGTATTGCAGCAAATGCCAGTTTCTTGTAAACTCACATGGCATGTAATAGTAATATAAAAAGAGTAGACAGTTCCTGGAACAGGTCCTGGGAAAAAAAACATGTTATTCCCTGTGATATGGAAACATTTTGTAAGCACTTTCACCTTGTCATTGATCCTTCAGTAAAACTGACTTTTATGGACAAGGGGGTAGCATAGGTTTCTCAATATGACAGAGATGTTCCATAGGACAGCTTAGGGGGCTCTCTGATTTATATAACCTACTGTTATACCATGAAACATTTTGCTCTTGTTTTGGGTTTTTTTCTGCTTTATTACAATTAGAAATAAAGATGCTGCTTCTAACGTAACCTTTTCACACATCTTTCTTTCATCCACATTCCCCGTAGCCCTTCGGCACTGCAGTTTTTTAGCTATTTCACTGCTGACAGTATGTGAAAGGATTTCAGATGAAAATTAATTGCACTGATACAAATTTACCAAGGGATATGCCTGTGTGGGTTGCTCATTTACCCCATGGGATAATGTGCCAGAAAAACAACAGCAGCAATATATCAGTGAACCTAACGTTTGCTACGCTTGGTGCAACACGGTACACCAATAAAAGAAGTTGTGTTTTGTGTTACAATCACAACAGACATACAGCTGTAAATAAATCATCTTATAGACCTTGCATTTAATACTGTGCCTTCTTTAATATATATAAGGAATTGCATTTTATGTTCTGCTTGCATTGAATATCTGAACACGCTTGTAAATCTAAAAGAACTTTGCAACTTGTTTCCCTCAAGGTACTGAGGTGATACCCCTCTTTTGGTATCATGTTGTTTTCCTAACAAAGTACTGCTGTTGCAATCACATTCACATGGTACCTGTTTGATGCCTATTTTCCAGAAGAAAACACATCACCAATCCCGATAGTGGAGTAAAGTTTATTAAGCAAAGTAGAATAATATACGCTGCTCAAAGGAACACTTTGAAAACACATTAGATCTCAATGGGGAAAAAAAAAAAATCATGCTGAATATATTTACTGATATTGACTCGGTAATGTGTTAGGAACATAAAGATGCCCCATTGTTTGATGGAAATTAAAATTATCAACCTACTAAAGACTGAATTCAAAGGCACCCTGAAAAAATCGAAGTGAAAAAATGATGCAGCAGGCTAGTTCATTTTGCTGGAATTTCATTCCAGCAACTCAAAATGGTACTCAGTAGTTTGTATGGCCCCCACATGCTTGTATGCATGCCTGACAACATCGGGGTATGCTCCTAATGAGACGACGGATGGTGTCCTGGGGTATTTCCTCCAAGATCTGGACCAGGGCATCACTGAGCTCCTGGACAGTCTGAGGTGCAACCTGGTGGCATCAGATGGATCGAAATATGATATTCCAGAGGTGTTCTATTGGTGTTCTATTGGATTTAGGTCAGGTGAGTGTGGGGGCCATTCAGTGGTATCAATTCCTTCATCCTCCAGGAACTGCCTGTATACTCTCACCACATGAGGCCGGCATTGTCGTGCACCACGAGGAACCCAGGACCCACTGCGCTAGCGTAGGGTCTGACAATGGATCCAAGTATTTCATCCCGATACCTAAAGGCAGTCAGGGTACCATTGTTTAGCCTGTAGAGGTCTGTGCGTCCCTCCATGGGTATGCCTCCCCTGACCATCACTGACCCACCACCAAAATGGTCATGCTGAACGATGCTAAAGGCAGCATAACGTTCTCCACGACTTCACCAGATCCTTTCACGTCTGTCACATGTGCTCAGGGTGAACCTGCTCTCATCTGTGAAAAGCACAGGGCACCAGTGGTAGACCTGACTATTCTGGTGTTCAATGGCAAATGCCAATTGAGCTCTGTGGTGCTGGGCAGTAAGCACAGGGCCCACTAGAGGACATCGGACCCAAAGGCCACCATCATGAAGTCTGTTTTACGACTATTTGGTCAGAGACATTCATATCAGACTGCTGGAGGTAATTTTGTAGGGCTCTGTCAGTGCTCATCCTGTTCCTCCTTGCACAAAGGAGCAGATACCGATCCTGCTGATGGGTTATCGACCTTCTACGGCCCTGTCCAGCTCTCCTAGAGTAACTGCCTGTTCCTGGAATCTCCTCCATGCTCTTGAGACTGTGCTGGAAGAAACAGCAAACCTTCTGGCAATGGCACGTATTGATGTGCCATCCTGGACAAGTTGGACTGCCTGTGCCGCCTCTGTAGGGTCCAGGTATCGCCTCATGCTACCAGTAGTAACATTGACCCTAGCCAACTGCAAAACTAGTGAAAAACTGTCAGAAAAGATGAATAGGGAAAAAAATGTCATGGCCTCCACCTGTAAAACCATTCCTGTTTTAGGGGTCATCCCATTGTTGCCCATCTAGTGCACCTGCTGTTAATTTCATTAACACCAAAGTAGCTGAAACTGATTAACAACCCCTCAGCTACTTAACTGACTGGATCAATATCCCAGGAGCTTAATTGACTTGATGCTATACTCTGCTTAAAAAGTGTTCCTTTAATTTTCTTGAGCAGTGTATATATACACACACATACTGTGTATGTATACATATATATATATATATACATATACTGTGCTGGGACTAATTGTCCCATCATCCTTTGCACCTTGTACACAAAACACATAGATTTCTGTCTGCGTTTGATACTTATTGATAAGAGTGCTGACACCAGGGGCAGACTGACCATTTGGAAACTCGGGCACTGCTGAGGGCCCGGTGTCAGTAGGGGGCCCCATTAAATGCCCCTGGTACCTTTTTCATAGGCTTTTGTGAGTTTGGGCAAGGACACAGGGGCCCCATGATCCCCTATTGCCCAGGGGCCCCATGAGTTGTCAGTCTGCCCCGGCTGACAAATAAAAATGTAGTTTGCTAGGGCTTCAGAGATCCCTTCAAGGCAGAGTAGCCATGCTAAAGGCAAAATGCAGAGTCTGAAGAAATAATAAGCTCCAATGGAAAATCAAACTTATAGCAATATCAGATGAGGTATGGTACATTTCTTGTTGTAGGAGGGAGTTTAAGGCTAGGTATAGATCTATGCAGGCTGTGGTTGATGCATCTTTTTGAGTGCATTTTGCATTTTTAACACACTTTTTTGATGCCTTTGATGTGTTTTTTTTATGTGTTTTGTTGGTTTTTTTTGGCTAATATAAAAGTATGACAATTCTGTTCTTGTAGTGTGTGACTTTGATGCGGCTTTACACTCTCTGGCACTAGCATCAAAGTAGCAGGAACCGTTATGTGTCCAAGTCACATGTTAGGGTTAAGGGCTAGGGTTAAATGTTAGGGTAATCATTAGGGTTAGTGTTCTAACCCTAATATTTACCACTAACCCTAACTATAACCCTAACATTTAACCCCAGCCCTGGCCCTTAACCCCAACCCTAACATGCGCCTTTGGACACATAAATGTTCCTGCAAGACCTTGATATGACTTTGATGCTATTTGAGTGGCAGAGAGTGTAAAGTCGCACTACATGAACAGAACAGTCAACACTTGTATTTTTGATGCATGTCCATTGAAGTCTATTACACGTAAAACACAATCTGCTGCAAGAAAAAAGTCCCTGACCCCTCCAAAAAAAAACACCGGCTCAAACCACATAGGCGCGAACTAGATCCATAGGAAACTATGAGGATTGTTCAAGTCAAACCTGGACTTTTGAGTTTATAAAATAAAAGAACAAATTTCAAGGAGTGGAAATTGCATTTACTTTTCTACATATTCCCTTGCTACATTTATACACTTATCCCAGAATTTAACTAATTCCTGGAAAGCTTTGGCATAGAAAGATTTGTTGTAATACTTGAACCATCCTAGGACAGCCTGCTTCACTTCGTCATCAGTGATGAAATACTGACCTGAGAAAGATTTGTCTCTTGTGTAATTTCATGACAGGTTATGCGTTGATTATGCAGGATCAGGTGTTCCACGCACTGAATGTACATAGGAATGATTGCTGTGGGCTGGGAATCACTGACGGACGTATGGCCATCTTGTTTATACCATTCAAATATCTTACTGCAGCTGAGCGTCTCATCACCGTACTGTGCTTGAAGTCTTCTGTAGATATCCGCAGGTTTTTACGCCTTCATTCACAAAAAAACTTCATCACCACACGCTGTTCCATGCACGCACCAACACTGTTGTCTGCCATCTTGATTAACGTTCTCTGGACTGGCCTGCGACATGTGCGCCACCTATCAGTAATAGGACACACTTGCCACTTACTACTGTACGTAGTACTGCCACGCTAGCATCCATTTTTTTATTTGTAATAATTAAAAGTCCCGGTTTGACTTGAACGCCCCTCGTATGTTTAATGGACTGTAGTGAGTTTCTGCAAAATGCACTAAAAATGCATAGATGTGAACCAAGGATAATAATGCTTTAATATTTTAAAAGGATGTTTTTAGAAATTCCAGTAGCTGTAGTAATTATTACTCAGTGCAGTATAAACACTTTGTCACACAGGAAAGCTACTTGATAACTGAACATGTTATGTGGTATTGGCTGGCAGGATTGAGGATGGTGTGAACACTTTATTAGGTATACCTTGCTAGCACCAGGTTGGACCCCCTTTTGCTCTTTTTTGGACCAGTCTCTTTAAACCCTAGAGATGGCTGTGCGTGAAAATCCCAGTACATCATACGTTTTTGCAATACTCAGAGCAGCCCGACTGGCACCAACAACCATGCCCTTAAATCCCCTTTCTTCCCAATTCTGATGCTCAGTTTGAACTTCAGCAAGTTGTCTTCACCACGTCTACATGCCTAAATACATTGAGTTGCTGCCATGTGATTGGCTGATTAGCAATTTGTGTTACCCAGAAATTGAACAGGTGTACCTAATAAAGTGGCCAATGAGTGTATGTGAGCTGACTGATGCTTAGGGCTCTCTCGCTCTCTCTACTGTGAGAGCCTGCTGCCAGGTGAATAGGAACATTTGGGAGATCATTAACAGTTCTGTCTGCTTCTTTTGAGGAACTCATAAGGGGGCAAATTGATGGACTGATTTAAATTTAGCAGTGGTTTTGTTTTGTTTTATGCTTGCTGTACAAGTCCCCCCCCTCCCCACCTCATATTAAAACTGTGTTTCTTTGCTGCCATGCTTAATAAAAGTGCAGGACAAATCCTGTTTAGGCTGTTGCTGGTGTCCCTGTCTCATTTATAGTTTTCTGCTGCCAAAATTAGCTGAGCCTGACCCCATTTCAATATTTTCATTATTCACAATTTGTATCTCATTTACACAAACATAAGGGCAAATTCACCATGATGTATGCATTTTTTTTAAATGGGCTTGGAAACCTCATCTTTCAGTGTGAATGATAAGCACTAAAGCCAGCCAAACACGGGTCAAATTCCAAAATAATTTTCTTTCGAAAATCTTTTCTAAGAATTTTCATTCGAATTTCACGCCATTAGTGGGCTACAGTAATAGCCAATTTTCAAACAGCGATCAAATTTGAGTGATCGGGCATGTTGGAAATTTTTCCAAAAATTAAACAAATTTCTAATCAATTATGAGAGAGTCGTGCGAGAAATGTAATCGAAAAAGAAACGCGCATGAACTGTGACCTGGAAAGAAAAGAAAATTCTTGGCCATGAAAATTCTTTTCTGTAGCAACATGAGGTAAAATTAAAAGGCTTGGTTGGTTGAATTTCTAAATCAATGGTGGCACAATCGACCTACAAAACACACAAAATTTTTGATTTTCTAAAAAAAATGTGTTCAGAATTCAACCCATGTATGGCCTGCATACAAAAAGGTGCTCCTCAGAAAAACAGGCAAGCCTCTTACTGAACCAAATTGATCTCAAGCTATAGAGATCAAATGAGCAGATGGTGTCCGGACTCCACACTGACACTTTCACTGACAGATCCAGGGAGGATGGATGGATCACTGCGTGTTCACACCAGGAACTGGCTTAACCACTTCATACCACTCTCTGCAGTAGTGTATGAAAGGGTTTAAACAAGAAAATACTTCATAGTACAACCCGTTAAAAAAACAAATGTTTATTTAAAACCTAAGTATTGCACTTACATTGAGATAAGTTAAAGAGAGCAATGGAAAAATATATGACTATTCAGTAGTGGTGTCATTGGCTCATGCGTGGTGACGTCACAGAAAGGCTCCGCCTGACACATTTCCCCAAAAATGGCCTCCTCTAGGATTGGAGATCGTTCCCAGAGATTAGTTTTCACATATGCATGTGAAAATGTTCTTTGCTGCTTCTAATCAGGAATTATATACATTGAAGGTACATTTTTCTCACGGATTTGCTTTTTCACATATAACTTCGCTAATGGATCCCTGTGAGACAAACAAGCTGGATTTTTAGTACAGGTACAGTACACTGTAACCGCTATTGTTATTTTACCTTACAATATTTTCTTGTTAAAACATTCAATTCACAAAAATATTGAATAATTGTGTATTTTTTTTTCATGTGTGAAATGGATATTTCTATTGAAAGCTTTTTTTAGGTTTAGATAGAGTGATGAACCTTTATTTCTAATGAAATGGTGCTGAATCTTCTGAACAGTTATTTTTATCACCTCTTCAAAGGGCTCCATTTTTTGTTCTCCATAATAGACAATTCCTATAACTGCACAATTATCACCACTCAAACCCTAGCAGGATTTTAACCATTCAAGTCCCAGGTGCCATTTTAAACCAGCTAGCAACAGATCACTATAACTAAGCTGCAAGTCGTTTTGGGTATGTATCTACCAGCTTTGCACATCTAGAGAGTGACATTTTTGCCCATTATTCATTGCAAAATAGCTCAAGCACTGTCAGATTGGATGGAGAGCTTCTGAACAGCAATTTTCAAGTCTTGTCACAAATTCTCAGTTGGATTTAGGTCTGGACTTTGACTGGGCCATTCTAACACATGAATATTCTTTGATCTAAACCATTCCATTGTAGCTCTGGCTGTATGTTTAGGGTCGTTGTCCTTTTGGAAGGTGAACCTCCACTCCAGTCTTAAGTCTTTTGCAGACTCTAACAGGTTTTCTTTCAAGATTGCCCTGTATTTGGCTCCATCCATCTTCCCATCAACTCTAATCAGCTTCCCTGTCCCTACTGAAGAAAATCATCCCCTCAACATGATACTGCCACCACCATGTTTCACAGTATGGATGGGGTGTTCAGGGTGATGTGCAGTGTTAGTTTTCCACCACACATAGCGTTTTGCTTTTAGGTCCAAAAGTTCAATTTTGGTCTCATCTGACCAGAGAATGTTCTTCAACATGTTATCTATGTCCCCACATGGCTTCTCGCAAACTGAAAATGGGACTTCTTATGGATTTTTTTCTACAGTGGCTTTCTTCTTGCCTCTCTTCCATAAAGGCCAGATTTGTGGAGTGCACAACTAATAGTTGTCCAGTGGACAGATTCTCCCACCTGTGCTGTGGATCTCTGCAGCTCCTCAAGAGTTTCCATGGGCCTCTTGGTTGCTTCTCTGATTAATGATCTCCTTGTCAGTTTAGGTGGACGGCCATATCTTGGTAGGTTTGCAGTTGTGCCATACTCTTTCCATATTTGGATGATGGTATCACGTACCTGGTGATGGAGGGCAATGGAGAGAGGGCTAAGTTCCGGACTCCCCTGAGAGAGGGACAGCGGGAATAAGATCCAAACTTTTACAAGTCACCTGTAGGAGTGCTGGTTGGTGGTCCACTCAGAAGCACAGCTGGTGCACGGAGATAGGTCTGCAGACAGGAGGCGCCTGTGTGTGGTATGCAAGCCCTTTTGGGATTTAGATGTTTACTGGGTAGTCTGTTCAAGCCAAGGTCAGGTACCAGGTGGGAATCAGAGCAGATGTAGTCAGATGGGATAGCCGAGGTCATACACAGAGGAGCGAGAGAGAAAGTATCCGTAAGCCAAGCCGAGGTCAGATCAGGGGTAAATCAGAGTAGACAGGTCCAGGAGCAAGCCGAGTCGGTATCAGGAAATCACAGGAAACAGGAACAAGGAACGGGGAGCTAGAGATCATCCAGCAACTTGAGGAAGTGATGAGCCTCCTTATAAATGCCGTCTGAGATTGAGGCTGATGCGTGCTTCTGCGGCCATGCAGGGTATCTTCCAGAACTTCTGCCGTGGACAGGACCCTGACAGATGGATTTAATAGTGCTCCATGAGATGTTTAAAGCTTGGAATATTTTTTTAATAACCTAACCCTGCTTTAAACTTCCCCATAACATTTTCCCTGACCTGTCTGGTGTGTTCCTTGACCTTCATGATGCTGTTTGTTCACTAATGTTCTCTAACACACTTCTGAGGGCTTCACAGAACAGCTGTATTAATACTGAGATTAAATTACACACAGCTGGACTCTATTTACTAATTAGATGACTTCTGAAGGCAATTGGATCCACTAGATTTTAGTTAGGGTTATCAGAGTAAGGGGGGCTGAATACAAATGCGCGCCACACTTTTCAGATATGTATTTGTAAAAAATTTTTAAAACCATTGATCGTTTTCCTTCCACTTTCCAATTATATGCCATTTTGTGTTGGTCTATCACATAAAATCCCAATAAAATACCTTTACGTTTTTGGTTGTAACATGACAAAATGTGGAAAATTTCAAGGGGTGTGAATACTTTTTCAAGGCACTGTATGTAAAGTGCTGTGTAACTTGACAGCTCTATATAAGTACCTGTAATAAATAAATACATTTGTTTTTGCATGTGTCATAATGATACATCAAAGGAGAAAAAAGCTCTTCTAAATTATCAACAAACACTAAATTTGAGCTTTACAATTTGGCTACATTACAGAAAAATTGCACCTTATATCTTTTTTTTCAGAAGACTTTTACATAGGAAGAGTTAAAGCCGTCCTGAAAAAAATTATGTTTAATATTTTAAGGTAGAGTACAAAAGCTAAAATAGTATACAGAAGCAGCTTCAAAAAAAAAAAAAACATTTTGGGGCACTGATGGTTAGAGGGAAGGAAAAGGCTGTGGCACTTGATCATTTAAGGACCAATAACTTGTGTGACACTTTTTTTGAACTGACCCCCTAATCAGTTCCAGGCCAAAAAAAAAACCCATTACACATGGGTGTAATCACAAACAGAGTCAGCCTCAAGGATAAAGGCACACATTTTTCAAAGTTGTATATCCTGAAAATCTCAGCTTCTTAGCTGTGTAAGCAACATATAGAAAAGAGAAAAGAAAAAGGTGTGGGACACTTTTAAGAGTATCAATAGAAGGGTCATAAACTGGAACTTTACAAATGGAAAGTCCACTTA